GTCCACTGGTGGAACCTCTTCTAACTGGTTCGGTAGATTTGACGAACCGGTTCTACCGAATAGGTGCGAACTGGTAGGAACCCACCTCTGATACAGATGATCATATGAAGATAACTATTCAAACAGAAAATGGAAAGGGAGCTTCAGGGTGTGTATTCCAACAAATCTGGAAAGTACCAGACTGAATTGTAGAAGAATACCTGAATATATTGTGGGACCAAATTTTCTTTACAGAACCTGAAAAGTCCACTTCAGCTCTGCAGCGAGAAGATTTTTTTTAACTGGTAGGCTTTCCCCCTTGCAAATCAGGTCTAATTTAGCAACTTATGGTTACTTTTTTTCTTGGTCATTGGGAAAATTCAGATTTTCTTTTTGTTTTGCTGTTGTATTGAGTAAAGTATTTTACTCCGTGTTTTTTACTAGCCCACTATATTCAGTTAGAGAACACTCTCCATTCTGAATTCCAATTTCCCCCCTGCATATTTGGTTTTTCCTTTTGTTTTTAAAATAAGCAGCTCCTTTTATTTAACCTTTTCTCCCTCTCTTCCCCCAAAGTGGCCATATAATAAATCTTTTGTATGCAATGCTGCATTTTTACTCAACCGGGAAAAAAAAAGTTAAATGCATAGAACTCATTATGTGCATCTTAACAACATCCTACAGTCACATATGGAATTCAAAGCCTTTGGTCTGGTTTCCAACCACCTCTAAAAGTTGCTGCACGATAGGTATTATATTGACAACACAGAAGGAAAAGCATTAAATATATTGGGAATATACTAGGGGTAGGTTACTGCCGGTTTTACTACCGGTTCGCTACCCGCGGGCAACGTGCTCACGTGCATGCACTGTTCAAAGTAAATTATTCTTCGTGCATGTGCAGAACAATTTATAGTGCACACACACAGTCACTAAAAAACAAAATGGTGGCAGCCCAGCAGCGGCGAGGGAATCAGTTCGGAAGCATGGCAGGCCTGGGTCGCTGCCGGTTCTGCGACCCAGGCTTGAATTCCACTACCGGTTTGGCTGAATTGGGCCGAACCAGGAGCAACCCCCCTCTGGAATATACCATATAGATTGTATTAACATATTTACTCACTGGAAAACTCTGGTGTTGGGAATGTGTGAAGGCAAAAGAAGGGAACAGCAGAGGATGAGATGGTTAGATAGGGTCATTGATGCAATGAACATGAATTTGGGCAAAGTCTGGGAGATAGTGGAGGACAGTGGGGCATGGTGTGCTATGGTCCATGTGGGTTGCAAAGAGTAGGACTCAACCTAGTGACAGAACAACATATTTACATTTTAAATAAATTGCATTTTGGACTATTTCTTTGACTATTTTATTAATTTTTTGGCTATTCTTTTGACTAATCTATTGGCCAGTGACGTGCAGTCAGAGGAGGCAGGGGAGGCAGGGCTTCACCACTGTCATCATGAAAAGAAATGAAAATTTAAAAGGAAAAAGGCTGAGGTAGTTGCTG